ATTACTGTCAGTTTGTTCTTTATGTCAAGAACTCACACAACTCCACTCCAAGAAGACAAACAACCCAATGAAAAAATGGGCAAAGGACCTGAAAAGACACTTCTCCAAGGAGGGCATACAGAGGGCCCAGAAACATGAAAGGATGCTCACCATCACTAGCCATCAGAAAGATGCACATTAAAACCACAATGAGATACTACCTCACACCAGTCAGCATGGCCATCATAACTAAATCAACAAACAGCAAGTGCTGGTAAGGGTGTGGAGAAGAGTGAACTCTAGTGAACTATTGGTGGGAATGCAGACTAGTGCAGCCATTGTGGAAAACAGTATGGAATTTCCTCAAAAAACTAAAAATGGAACTGCCTTTTGACCTGGTAATTCCACTGCTGGGATTATACCCTAAGAGCCCTGAGACACCAATCCAAAAGAATCTATGTACGCCAATGTTCATAGCAGCACAATTTATAATAGCCAAGTGCTGGAAGCAATCTAAGTGCCCATCAGTAAATGAGTGGATCAAAACACAATGGAATTCCATTGTGTACATTTACACAATGGAATTCTATGCAGCAGAAAGAAAGAAGTAGCTCCTACCTTTTGCGAAAGCATGCGTGGAACTGGAGAGCATTATGCTAAGTGAAATAAGCCAGGCGGTGAGGGACAAATACCATATGATCTCACCTGTAACTGGAACACAATCAACAACAACAAAAGCAAACAAAATATAACCAGAGACATTGAAATTAAAAACAATCTAACACAGCCAGAACACAGCCTTAAATACAATAGCCAGAGAGGAGCAGGGAGGAGAGAGAGGGAGGTGGGTTTGGCTGGGGTGGGGGGAAAATGGAGACAACTGTAATTGAATAACAATAAAGTAATTATAAACATATACATATCCTTGAGTAAGGATTTTTTAAAAAGATGTTAAGTTTAAATAGTTTTCGAAATTTACTGTAAGAGGTAGATTTTTCTCTACCTTCTTGGCTTTGAAAATATTCCCTATGAAACCACTTTCTTTTCCTCCACAACCTGGAAGGGTTGGTTGGCAAAACTCCATATAGTAAGCAATACTCACTGCCATCTAATAGACTGAGCTATCTCCATGGGGAAAGAGAAAAGCCCTGTGGCTAAAAATGTCAAGTCTAGGATCTTAAAGCTCTACCAGAGAAACTGTGCGGAATATTGTTCTCTTGGCTGGGGAATAGATTGGATAACTGGAATGTCATTTCCCAATTATTGTTAATTCCTATGATTTGGGGAAAACGGACCTTAAAAGGGATGAAGTACAATTTTCAGAGGACAAAAAATAAGGACTAGTTATAATATTTTGAAAAATGTTTATTATGAGTATTTAATCAATATTTGCTCATGATGAAATATCATATATAAAAGAATCAATTAAATATTTACATTAGTATGGAGTGAAGTTCCCGATTATTGGGAAAAGGTCAAAATGCTCCCACATTTCTGAGTTCATGATAGTAAACTCGTGTTTTTCTCATACTACTCACAGACTGCTTATGACAAATGCAGTACAAATGGCAATACTTATTCCCAACATGAACTGTTGAAACTAAACTCACTTGTGTTGAGTATTACCATAGCAGGTATATGCCCCACTGAAAAATTATTTGTGACTAACTGATGTATATATGTGTTTATATATATATAAATGTGCATGTGTATGAAAGTGTATGTATAGTTATACATATAATTTTTGAAAACTGAAAGGCATCTTTAACCCCTACAGAGTTTCAAATTTCAGTCTCTCAAATAATAACTTTATATCATGGAGTAGTGGTTAAGAGTGCTAAAACCACTTATTAGCTGTGTGACCTTGGGCAAGGTACTGAACATTTGTATAGCAGTAACCTAATCTTAACTGTACCCCCCATGGAGTGTTGTGGGGATTAAGTGAATTAGAAGATGGCACTGTATAAAGTACAAAACAAATGTACACTTTCATTACAATTACTAAAATGTACAAGGCCCATGCTAGATACTTCAAGGGAGGGATAAAAAAAGAGACAATCTCTACTCTTATGTAGTTTACCTAATCGGGAACCCAAGCTATTATCGCATATAAAGTTAAATATTTATACCTCAGAAGAAAACCAACAGTTCACTTCAGCAGCACAGACCAGCCTCTTAAATACAGAAGCCATGGGGACTAGGCGACCTGGACCAGAGGAGTATCTTTATATAAGGTGCTAGTCTCATATATATTTCCCTTCACTTGATGCTTGTCTCTCTGACATGATGAAAAAAGACTCAAGGCAGATTGTATAATAAACATCACTTTGCAATGGTCCAGGCTATGTTAATCCTGCAGTGGCTTAGCCCTGGGTGAGTGTTAAATGACGCGCATGCTGACACTGGATTAAGGCTCTTGACCATGGAAGCTGGTCAAGCTGTGAGTGCTCTGAGAAGTGGGCCAATCCATCATTTTTTTTTTCAGTTTGTAGAGGGATGTGACTGCTTCAGTTGTTTTTTTAAAAATATTTTCTGAGATTTACAGAGAGTTCCGGACTGTGGTTAACTCAGCTTCAAAGGCAATTTTGTACAAGGACTGGCACCAAATTGCATGTCTAATTGCCAAATGAATATTACAGTAAATGAATTCCCCATGAGGTCGAGGACAGGGCTGCTTATTATGGTCTGGGATGGTCATGGAAGGCCTTGGGAAGAAGTGATTATGAAAGGGCCTTCAAAAGGAATTTAAGGTAATGCTTGAATTAATCCCCTTTAAGTCAAATATTAATTCCCCTGACTCAATTTTTAAAAAATTTATCACTTTAGATTTTCACCTAACAACTGTCCCTGAATGGTGCCCATGACAAAAGATAAGTTTTTTTTTGCTAAATAATGAGTTTAATAGGTTTCCAGTATTGGTCTGAGTATATAACCTTCATCGCTTCATAACATGGCTTCTGTGGGGAAAGAAGGAGCACTCCAAATTTCAGGCAATCAGTGTATAAGCCCATTTTCAAACATTCTTTGGTTCTTTCACTCAGTGATTATTCATGGAGTGCTCTGCCTGTACCAGACACTGTTGGAAGCACATATGAACAAAGATCCCTGCCCTCAGGAAGCTGACATTCTAGAGAAGAGAGACAGTTAACAAACATAATAATTGGCACAGTGTGTTGGAACATGATAAGTGCTATGAGGAAAAAAAAGTAGAGCAGGGTAAGAGGGGATGGGTGGTCGTTTTACATAGGACAGTCACTGAGAAGGTGACATTTAAGCGAAGTATGAAGATAGCCAGCCAAAGTGAATGACCATATCTGGGTGAAATGCATTTAAGGCAAAAGGAAGAGCCGGTGCAAAGGAGGCAGGAGCTTACCTAGTGAGTCTGAAGAATAGCAAGGAGGCTGTTGAAGGGGGTGGGAAAGACAAGAGAGGTTAGAGAACTAAGTTGGGTAGTGGTGGGGACTGAACTTTCTACATCATGTAGAGCTTTGCAGGCTATTGCATAGCCTTTTGGGAAAGTTAGAGGTCACTTGTATTGGCCTGTCTTAAAGTAAGACCTGCCTATATCAAAATAATTCATCGTTTTCCCATACATCAACTTTAATGGGCCCACAAATCACCTGAGACCTTGTGAATATTTAAATTCTGATTTAGTAAGCCTGAGGTGGGGTCTGAAATTCTGCATTTTAAACATGCCTCCAGGTGATGCCAGGCTGCTGGTTCACTATCACATATGGTAATCAGAGTAAGAGGTATGGGCTCTGAGGGGCTTTGGAGCTTCTCTCTCCTTTGGTGGTTTTAAGGGACTTCTTGCTCCCTATAAGCTGGAAAGGATAACTTCAAAAGGTTTTCATCCACACTTTCATATTTGTCATGTTCTCACCACTGGCCTCACTACTTCATGGTCCTAACACCTGGCTAGTGAGCACATGGTCCAGGGCTGACCGGTAACAGGAGGTGGGTTGTCTGGCTGTTTCCATGCAGTGTCTAAGAAGTTTCTATGGCCCCCCTCACTGCCACCATGGAGACTCTACTTCTGAAGCTCAATCTGGGAAACCCTGCTCTGCTCCCTGAATGATAGCTGGACACTCTAACCACATTCCTCTCTTACCCGTATTAATGGAGTTCTGACTTCTGGCCTTCATTCCTTGCCCTATTTCCGGAGTGACAGCCCAGCTCTGCACACTGGGCCTGAGGCAGCTCGAGGACTGGCGTGATGCTCCCAGGCAGAAGAGGTGCTCTGCTAATGCCTATTTAACAGGCAAAGCTGGCCTTCTTAACAGCTGGCAAGGTACTTGACAGCTGAGTTGGCCTGGAAGGCCTCGTGAATATAAAGCATAGGTTAAGAGTCCGGTCGGCTTGGGTTTGAACTGTGCTTCTATCCATCCCTGTGTAGTCTCAGGAACGTTTTCTCATCTGGAAGATGGGAATGATAACAGTACCTCCCTCGTGTATTGCGATTATGCGTATAAAGCCCTTAGTAAAGTGCCTCATTGATGATACTCACAAAACAGTAGTTGCTATTATTTTTATAATTACTATTCACACCCCACCAGGTATCAAATCGCTTTGTGGCCTGGCATTATGGAACTCACCTTCACATGCCCTGGAGTTAAGGTACCAGAGGCTTTCAAAGACGAGACACAGAGGCCAATAGCAGTTTCATCATGATAGATGTCACAGGAAATAATTGAAGGTACTGAAGGGGTTTGGTTTGGAAAATAGACAATGAGACAGATGTGATGGCTGCCTTTAGATTGTCTTGTATAGAGTAATCAGAAGTGTTTTCTGAGACCCCGAGACCACAGGGAAGACCTTAAAGGGAAACACACCCCTGGCTAAAGCGAAGCGAGTTCTAGTGCCAGGGGGGTAGGGGCGTCTGCGAGGGGGGTAGGGGCGTCTTCGAGGGTCCGCTCCTGCGCAGCTGCGGCGGTGGAGCCAATCACGGGGCGCAGCCGGTCCTCGCGCGACCGAACAGTCGTACAGTCGTACAATCGTGACGTCCCTGGTTGCCATGGAGAGGAGAGCCGGCTAGCCGAGGACCGCAAGCTTGGGACCGCGAGCTGGCGCCAGAGGCAACAAGGTTGGAGCGTGGCTTTGAAGTCGCCTCAGCTACCACCATGAGCGGCCGAAGTCGAGGTAGAAAGTCCTCCCGAGCCAAAAGCCGGGGCAAAGGCCGCGCCAAAGGCCGAGTTCGCGCTGCTCCTGACCACGGCCCGCACGAGCCGGACCCTCCGCAGTGCCAGAGGCTCGGGGAGGAAACCCAAGCAGCACAGGTGCAGGCTGACGCGGGTTGGGGTGGCCTGGAAACCGCTGCGCCCGCGCCGCCCTGCGGGCCGGGGGAGGAGGCTGCCTGCCAGCTCCCGCTGGACTGCGGCCTCGCGCTCCGAGCGGCGGGGGAACGCGGGCAGGCTGCGACCAGGCTCGGCCTGGGGAAGGCCCCATCCATTTCGGAGCGCCTGATGACAGATACTGTCTTCGTAGGAACCGCGGGAACTGTGGGAAGGCCGAAAAATGGCCCCCGCGGTCGAAATCTGCGTGGGCGTGCTGGGAAGAAGGCCCCAGTGGGGAAGGGGCCTTTGCAGGCCATAGCTGGTGGGAAGCCAAAGAAAGGGACCGCTGGGGAGTGTGCGTCTGCCCCAGTGGTAGAGGAAGAGGAGGTGGAGCCGGATGCAGGGTCAGTCCCCCCGGCGACGGATGGCAGCATGGATACGCTGGAGACCGTCCAGCTGAAGCTGGAGACCATGAACGCCCAGGCAGACAGGGCCTATCTCCGTCTATCTCGCAAGTTTGGGCAGTTGAGACTGCACCACCTAAAGCGAAGGAACCTCCTCATCCAGAATATCCCGGGCTTTTGGGGGCAAGCGTTTCAGAGCCACCCCCAGCTATCATCCTTTCTGAACAACCAAGATAAAGAAGTACTCAGCTACTTGAACAGCTTGGAGGTGGAAGAGCTTGGCCTCGCCAGACTGGGCTACAAAATCAAGTTCTACTTTGGGCGCAACCCCTATTTCCAAAACAAGGTGCTTATCAAGGAATATGGTTGTGGCCCTTCAGGTCAGGTGGTGTCGCGTTCTACTCCCATCCAGTGGCTTCCAGGCCACGACCTCCAGTCCGTAAGCCAGGGGAGCCCAGACAACAGCCCTAGCTTCTTTGGGTGGTTTTCAAACCACAGCTCTATTGAGTCTGACAAGATTGTCGAGATAATTAATGAGGAACTTTGGCCCAATCCTCTGCAGTACTACCTTATGAGTGAAGGGGCACGTGGAGAGAAGGGAAAGGAGGGCAGGCAAGTTCCAGCAAGGCAGCCAACGGAGACTCCTGAGCCTGGAGTAAACAAATCCAAGTAATTTTGCACAAGGCTTCCCTCTACCTCCTGCTGGACTGGTGTCTGGCTGACCACATGTGTTTGACTGTCTGCCTCTTCACGTTGGCCTCCATGCACTCTTTTCCCTTTGAACTTCAGTTACAAGAATATGGCATTTATGATCATGTTCTTTTGCCTCCCCATAGCCTTGCTTATTTACATTTGTGTCACAGGTTATGTGATCTTACTCCTACTGTTTATATGTTGAACATACATGTTTCGTATGTGTGCTGCCTTTATCTATATGCCTGGACTCAGTTCTTGGCTTTGGCCTTTCCCAGCTGTCTTTTAATATGGACATTCATGAGTCATTCTCCAAGAGGACCAATGCATCCTTAAGCTCTGCTCCTTCAGGGCTGGTGACTTCAGTAGGCTTTTTATTCATGCTGGCTATGCATGCCGCATATAGCAAGATTTTGTGTTGCTGCAAAATGAAGCTAGTGCACATGGTACTGGGCATCAGACAGAACTGATTGTTTAGTGGCCCTGGGGTCATTAGCCAAGGCACCACCTATGGGATCTCTGGCTTTGGACAGGGGTCCGTGCTGTCCCGCTGGACATGCAGCAGAATGGCACTTGACTGCAGGGCATGAATGAAGTTCAGGGTGAGAAGCAGTTTGCCATGTGTTCTGTACCATCACACATCTCCTCCTGCCTCTGGGCCCTTTCACTGGTGAATCTTCATCAAGCTTCATTGTGCTGTGCCTCATTCCTGTTAGGCCGTTGAGTTGTCTAGATTGTTATTGGCTCCAGTTGACTTCCTGTTCCACAAGGGCCTCCAGAACTGCCTGTGGGCCCAGGTCCCCTGCCAGTGCTTGAGACACACATCTACTCTCCCCCCCTTCCAGCAAGCCTATTTGCTGTCAGACTGATGGGTGGGCTGGTATATGTGAACATGTACTCATTGTCATCGTGCTGTGGTTCCAGATGAGGGTGGGGACTAAGCTTACATAGAATCTAGGTCCCTTTCTCAATTTCCCTTATCCCTTTATCATATATGACCAGAATGCTCTAGTGGGGTTGCTGGGAAAGAGGTTATTTCGGATATGTAAGCCTGTGTTTACTTCATTTCACACCCTGAAAGTTTTGTTCAGTCTACATCATTAATGTGTTTTATAAATAAGAGAAACAAGCCAAAAACAGAATGATGTTACTTTGGATGCTTTCTCTTTTGTTCTAGGTGTGGCCTTATGTATGTGAAATATTAATGCTGCTTATTTTGCCTCTAAGTACAATCTTAACCACAGTCCTCATTTTTGCCAGATGGGAGTATAGAGCTGTATAGGTCTGCTTTGTATTTCTTTTAAACTTTTTCCTCTTTATTATGGACATTTTCAGACATGCACAGAAGTTAAGAGGATGGTCCATGGACCCTATATACGTAACACCTGGCTGTATACCTAATACCTAATAACTGGCTGTATCAGTTATTAATTATGATCAATATGGTTTCATCTGTATCTCCCTCTTCCTGCCTGTATTGTTTATCAGAAGTCCAAGACACTGTGCTAATTCAACTGTGACTATTTGCATCAGGTCTGCTTTTTTGCTCTTAATGTTAACTAACAAAGTTCCAGAGATGGGCCTTAGAATTGAAGGTCTTCAGAAATAACAAGAAGTCTTAAAAAGAGATGGAGGGGATACTTTCCCCTGCATCCACAAAAAGAGGGGGACTATTCTGTTGTAAATGTCTTTCTTCCCTGTGTAAGATGAGGACTTGTGTGACTATTAGAATTGTTATCAGCTTGTTCTGATCTTATAACTCCAGTCTTGGAAGTATAATTTGGAAATTGTTGCTATGTTCTGTGAAAATAACTTCCCAAAAGTAACCTCCCAAAACTGATTGTCTTACTAATTTGACACCGTAGTAATAATGCAATTATTTCTTTGTTCCTAAACAGTTTAAATAGTTGTAAACTTGCATGCATGATGGAAAAATAAAAACCTGTACTACTGTTACCTTTTTTATTTTCAAAAAAGACTTGGAGGCTGGGTAGTTGAGGGGATGTATACATCGGCCTAGGTGACTGTTCCTAAGCCTTAGGCCCTTGTGTGACTAGCAACATAACAATATATGCAACTCTGATTCCCAAGTCCTTACCAGAGGTTGAGATCCTGTGGTGTGGGCAAAAAGCCAGTTAAGTCCATCTTTCTACAAGCTTTCTGGACGATTCTAGTGGAAATCCAGTGCTCCTTAAATTTTTGAGTTCATCTGAATCGTGTGGAGAATCCTGTTAAAATCCTATGAAAATCCTGAATTTTGATTCAACAGTCTAGGTTGGAAGCTGAGATTCGGCATTTCTAACAAATGTGCAGGTGATGCCAGTGTTGGTGCTTTGTGAACTGGGTGGGAAAGGAGGTGGCTTTCAGGCCCTTTCAGACTAGAGTAACAGTGCTCAACCTTGGCTGCACAGTTATCTGGGAAGCTTAAGGAAATACACTGTCAGAGTTCCACACAAATACCAACTAAATCAGAAGTCGGGGTAGGGAGGGGAGAGTCGGTCCAGGTATAGGTAGTTTTAGAACATCCCAGGTGATTCTGATGTCTAGCTCAAGTTGAGAACTAACCCTAGTTAGTTCTCTGATGCTGGTCGTAACAGACACACAACAAGGATCATTTTCCCTTAATCATGGGGAGGTAGTACCAGACAGCCAAATGCCACATAAAGCTGTCCAGCGGATAATGGTTGGAAACCATTAAAAGTGGGCTGTTAAAAGAGAATAAAAGTGGTTTGTATGATGAAGTACTTGACTCAACAAATATACAGTGTTCAGGGAATAGTAGGTGCCCAAATGTCAAATCAATGAATTTAAACATAGTTTATATCAGATACCTAGGCGCTAGGCCGAAGATTAAATTTGTGAAGTGGGCCAAATTTATTTCATATGGACATAGTTTGTTAGGGCTTCTATAACAAAATACCCCGGACTGGGTGGCTTAAACAATAGAAAGGCATTTCCTTAGTTTTGGAGGATAGAAGTCTGAGACCCGGCTGTCTGTAGGGGTGGTTTTGTTTGAAAGCCTCTTTCTTTAGCTTATGGCAGTTCATTGTCTCTGGGAGCAGCGGACAGAGGTGGAGGTTGTCTGCAGTGCTGGACTGTGTTATTTGGGGATAATGCAGACCTAGTGTTGCTACATCTTCAAAGAGGATTGGGGGTAGTCAGGATCTTTATGTAGCCTCTCCCAATTTTGGTATGTTTTCAACTAAAAGAAACAAACATCCAGAGCCTTGCTGTTAGTGCTGGTAGAGTGCAAAAGTGTTCGTAGGGAGAGCAGCCTCTTCAGGCCTGAGAGGCTCTCGGGATTCATGCCGAGTCCTCTGGGGTTACAGATCTGGAGGGGGCTCTCTGACCAGTTCAGCTTGCACCCCTGCTGCTTCACAGGTGTGGAGCCTCCGCTTCCCAGGCTCTGCTTTCACACCCCTCTCTTCAGCTCTTTGGAGAAGCCGTCTGATTTGGGATTCACCACCTCCACATGGGTTCATTCATTCATTGCCTCCTATACATGTCAGTCTCTTGACGTTAGATATTCAGCTGTGAACAAATGCAGCCTTGAATTCCATCCCCCTCCTATGTTCCAACCTCTTCTCAGCTTTTCCCTGGGATTGTCAGTCTATCTTTTTTTTTTTATCCCTTTTCCTACATGAGGGTATTTAGTGCTTTAGATCCATACGGGGGCTAATGGAACCCTCCTCTCATCCTCAGGCCTCTAGGCCAGACTCCATGAGGCAATTAGGCGTTTAATAACCTGGAGAGGGAGAGTTTGTTGGAATGATTCTTGTTATGCTAAGAGTCCTTGGCCCTTTTTTCAACTTCGAGTTTTACCAAACTTCCTTTGATTACTTGTTACTTGCTGGGCTTTTTTGAAAGTGTGGTGGGTTTGAGCAATGCTGTAGGTGAGGAAGGAGAGAAAAAAAATGGTTTTGCTACTCTTAGCTTACTGAAAGTCTTTATCAACTTCTGTCTCTGTCTGTACACTTGGGGCTTCCCCCTTTGGTCCACTTCCCCGACTTGCAACAAGGGAAAGAGGCACATTGCCCTGGGTGGCCTCACTTAAGGAGGAAACTTTGCCCTTATTTGCCCCTCCAAAGATTTTGGAAACTCCGGTCTTTTTACCTTTTGAGATCCCCCTCCTTGGTGAGCCTCTGTTACTGATGGGTGGGGCTGTATCCCTCGGGAGTTCAGACAGACAGACAGACAGACAGACATGGAGAGGGAGAGAAGGGAGAGGGAAGGGGGGGGGCGGGCGGAGAGAGAGAGAGGAGAGCGATAGAAGAGAGCCCAGGGTATCCAGTCTATGGTTTCTGTCTCTCTGTTCTCAGCATCTTCACTTCCGCGTTTGGAATCGTCCCCAACTATATTTTACCATTTGGACTCTCAATTCACTCCTGCCAATTCACTTTCACCTGAAGCTCAGACCTTGGGTTAGTTCTGCTTCTGTACCCCTGACCGGGTATTCTGCTACTGACTCTCCAAGCCACGAGCCTTGAATTTCTTTCTCTCCCTGCCTCCTATCAGTCTGACCCACAGCTGAGGTTTGACAAATACGAGACAAAATAGCTCCCATTGATGTGACTGACACTTCATGGTTTACAAAGCCCATACTTTCACATTATCTTAATTATAACAACTACCTCATAAGAAGGTTCAAACAGGTTAAAAGATGACCAAAAGCACAAAACCAGTAAGCAGTAAAGCCAGACTCAAACTTGGGTCTTCAGTTTCCAAACTCCATCCATACATGTGGTAAGCGTGAGGCCCGAGCTGATAACCTGACACTATGAACCTGGCGCTTCTTTCCACAGAACCTTTATCTGGCCCTTCACACAGTACATCGTCGGGACCCTCCGTGCAGCACATTCGTCAGTCATTGCCCGTCAGAGTTCGTACGTGAACGTGAACCGCCTGCTGTCAGAGCTCAATCGAGAGCAGGACTGACTCGTGGGTGACTCAGTGGTGGCTGAGGCTTCCTTTAACCGCTTTGTTCCAAGGTCAGGGTTGGTTCTAGACACACCTGGAGGCTGAGTGAGGAGGTTTTTTGGCTGTAACTATCAATACCTGAATATGAATGATTTGGGAACAGGAGGTAATTTTTCTTCCATAGCAAGAAGCCTGGTGATAGAAGTTGCAGGCTTGTTTCAGTGGCTCAACAATGTTAGTTAGGGCTCTGAGTCTGCCTCTCTGCTTCTCTGCTCTTGGCTTTCCCCCCATGATTCCCCACCTCTAAGCATCGCATCCTCACCCAGCTACACTTGAAGGCAGGCAGGTAAGAGGGGAAGGGAATCTTTTTCACGTGTCTCTGTCTTTAGCAGGAAGAACGTTTTTGCCAGCAGTCCCTGGTAGATTTCAGGATACCTGAGTCAGTCCCTTGGGCCAGAAATGGGTCACACTCCCACACTCCACTTCAAGGAAATCTAGTATGTGTCAGCATCTTCCATGGGAGTGGGTTTCTGCCGTCTAAGAGTACAGTGAAATCAGGGGGCTAGAATTGATGGGGATTTTAGTAACCTGTAGGTCCTTTCTGAAGTGATGTGTGGCTTTTCCTGCTTACGGAGCACCACATACTCAGTGGAGGCGCTGTGCCCCCGCAAGTCTCCCACGCCAGCTCTCCCAGTCACCTCTTCTGACAAGAAAGCTCTGCTTGTGCTCAGCGTTTTACATCTCATCTCTATTATATGGTAAATGTTCTTCTGGCCAGCAATGCCTTTTTGATTTTCCTGTTTCCCACAGCACTTAGCCCAGGGGTCACTCAATAGATGATGTCAATAAATGCTATTTGCCAGAATGCAATTAATCAGTACTTTTTCTAAAATGTAAATTTCATCATGCCAATCATCAGTTCAAAGCCTTCAGGAATAAGGTTCAAAATCCTAATAAGTTCATAACAGGCCCTTCATTATTTGACTGTACATTTTTTCTTTCAAAATTTATTGTGAAAAATTTCAAATGTACATAGAAGTGAACAGAAAAATATAATGATCGCCCATATATCTACCATTTAAGTTCAACAAGTGTTAACTTTTTGCCATATTTATTTTATCTTTGTGTGTCTGTGATATTGTTGAACTCTGAAAATAAGTTGCTTGACACTTCATTCCTAAATACTCAGCGTCCATCTCATTTAAAAAAGAGACTTTTCACCTGGCTGGTGTAGCTCAGTAGATTGAGCTCAGGCTGCGAACCAAAGTGTCGCAGGTTTGATTCCCAGTCAGGGCACATGCCTGGGTTGCAGGCCATGGCCCCCAGCAACCGCACATTGATGTTTCTTTCTCTCTCTCTCTCCCTCCCTTCCCTCTCTAAAAATAAATAAATAAAATCTTTAAAAAAAGAGGCCACACATTATAAAAAAATAATAAAATAAAAAAGATACTTTTCTACATAATCACAAGATCATTGTCAGACTGCAGAAAATTATAGTTCCCAGACACCTTCTAGAATCTAGTCCATATTTAGATTTCAAATTATTCCCAAGATTATCTTAAGTATTCGAAGTATTAGTTTTTAAACCAAGATCTAATAATACTGAGGCCTTGCATTTAGTTGTTATTGCTTTAGTTTTTTTTTTAAACAAACATGTATAAATGATGCATGGACAAAGGCAAAGGGGGTAGGTTTGAGGGTGGGAGGTGGGGATGGGTGGGGTGGGGGGTACAGTGGGGGGAAATGGAGACAACTGTACTTGAACAACAATAAAAAAATAATCCTTTTCCTCCCCCCTCCCCACACTGACTTTCTAAAGAAGTCAGGCCAAATATGTTATAGGATGTCCCACATTCTGGGTTTGTCAGATTGCTCCTTCTTCATGTAATTCAACTTTTCCCTCTGTCTTCTGTATTTCTTGTAAACTGAGGGTTTGGGTGAAACACCTTCGGCAAGAGTACCATGTGAATGAGACTGTGTACTTCAACCTCGCCTCACTTCAGGAGGCGTGGTGATAGGTGTG